TTTCTATGTGCTTGCGTCGTGTCTTTGTACTTGGTCTTTCAACGACTTTTTAGTCGTAGCGCCATCTATGAGAAATCTATTACGGATCGAAGGATTTTTTTTTTCTGAGTGTTCGATCTTTGTATTGATAATTATAACAAACTAGTGGAGTAATTTCACAAAAAAATAATTGAATATCAATTCAATAAAAAATTTAATTAATACAAAATAATTGTTTTTAAAATAAATTATGCATCTTCTGATCACAAAATCACTTGCCCGTGGAAGGAAACGTCCCTGTTCACCCGTTCACCCACAGTAGTGGTGCTTTCGCAGTTTATAATGGCACAGTTATGCATTTTTCACGTTTTCGACTGGTGTTTATCTTCGATAACGGCTGAAGTGTAGCAGCGCCAACTAAGTGAATTTCACTTACTATGGGCACGCGAAGTACGTACACTTGCGGCGTCTATCTAGATATATGTCTGTGACTCTTACTCTCATGCTTCTTCTATCATGTACGCGTTGGCACCAACACAGCATTAAGGACCGTTTACACGGGGTCAATCGACGAGCTATTCCATTAAGCCAAGCCCATTATTGGCGTAGTCGTGTAAATAGAGACAATCCACAGTGGTTTTTTTTTTATAAAATATGATACTCGGCGACGAGACGAACAAGTCGTGCGCCTGGTGGTAAGCGTCAATCCTGTCCATGACAGTTGCAATGCCTCTCAAATTGTTGTCAAAAAAGTGGAAAGTCTCATGTGCCTGTAATTTCACCAGCACCCTTACCCTTCAAAGCCGGAATGCAGTAATAATTATTTCATTTCTGCCGCCAGAAATGGATAAGGTGGCAGTACTATTCTGGACGAACTTTTTAAATGACTTCAAAAAAAGGAGGAGGTTCTCAATTCGACTGTGTGTGTGTTTTTTTTTGTATGTATGTTACGCGATAACTTCCACATTTGTGAAACGATTCTGATGATTGTTTTTTTCTTGGAAAAAGAGTTTTGAGGTCGGTTTTTTAGTAGTGTACTGAACTATTTTTTCATAAGGAGCTCTACTGCTGCTCTAGTGTCTCGACTAGTGATTTTGAAAAGATTTCAAGCCAATACTTTCCCCCATCACACGTGCAATGAATTGGCTCATGTTTATGACCTTGTTTGAACGTGCATTCTGAGCCACCCCACTAGTTTGTCGTCGTTTAGTAAAGAATCTTAAATTTATTGTAATACTGGCTGTACTGGCTTTCACTAGACTGGCTTAATGGCTTGGCTTTGTGAAATGGCTCGTCAATTGGCCCTGTGTAAATGGGCCATTATGTACGGCCATTCGTGCGTGCCAGAGACAACTTGTTACTTTTTTGTTATTTAAAAAATAAATGCACATTTGCCCTCCATCTCACCTGATGGAAAGTGACGATGAGGATGTACACCTAAATAAGACCTATTTACTCTAGCCATGTAAAGGTCCAAGTTATAGTGTTCGGGGAACAAGTCTGCAGACAGGTAATTCCACTCCAAAGCCGTTCGCCATGAAAAACTCTTCGTGTGAATCCTCGGAATATCCAGAACCCTAACCTGCGTCTAGTTCCCCGAAGATGAAAAGAGGAAGGCGGTATTGAATTGTGCAATTCCCTTGCACTCTCCGTGATTATTTATATATATTTTTCCAGTCTTATGAAAAAAAAACAGGAAATTTTAATAAATAGCTCCGAAGTTACAGAGATCTCGAGATGCATAACAAACACTCTCGATATGTCCTAAGTATAAGGGCCAAACTAACAATTTGATCGTTTTCACTTTTTTGTGGGAAATGCTTCGTTTCATTATAATCTATAAGGTAGTGTTAAAACAAAATCAAACATATTCAAGGAAACATCGAAAAACAGGGAAATCTAGAAAATACACCAGCTTGAAAGTTTGGAAGCCTCTCCTGTAAAATTGTGATTTTTGCGCTTTGGCCCTTATACATAAACACGAGTCTCGTGTTAAGATATCAAGTGAGACTAAGAACCCTGGATTTCTTTCGTTAGAACTCAATAAGGATTCTGTAGCTTAAGTGGCGAGAGCAAACGCAGGCAGCGGGTAATACTGCCGTCCGATAACTATAACTGCTAAGTGACAAAATAATTTTGTGAGATATCATAAAAAGCCATAACCCAGTTTTAGAATACTGAAATTGTTTATTGATATTTCGGCTATGCATGTTAGGGATTTACCCTAACATGTCGATAAGTCGAAAACGTTGTCGCGAATCACGCGATAATCAATCATTTGGTGAGTAAACGAACTTCACCCAATTTTTTGTATTGTGGTAACACTGCTTTGCCTTTGCTAACTTTTTATTTTGACACTATCGAGACGGCAGTAACGTCAACGGCAATGGCGGGATACCGAGTGGACTTCAGTTTGGTTAAAACTGAAGATAGGGCTGTGTAAGTGAATGTACCCTAAGAGACAAACAACTGGTAAGTTCCTCTATGTATTGTTGAACTTTACGACATGCATAGACACGGTGGAAAGACACACAACTAAGTTAATTGTCGAATTTAATATTGTTACGAAACATGTTCTATGATTATCAATTCGCCACGTGCTGACTCGACCCGCAGTAGACTAGCCTCATTGACGCTTATGACTGTGGGTGCCTATCGTTGGCATCAATCGGGTCGGTATTAGCTGGCATGTACACTTGCACCGCGATTAATAGCTATCGAAGCTTGAAACCTGTTGGGCAGAGGTTGGACTAAAGGGGAGGCTGGAGGTCCACTCGGGGCACCTCTCAGGTGTCCCGCCCCAGTACATAGGCGAGATGTGCTGGGGGCTTGTACGCGACATACGAGGTACACCTCTACGGTTCCTCGTCATAGCGCAATGTAGTGAACCATTAACGTTTTAATCATGGTTAAGTGTCTTTCTACCCGCTTATATGTATACCTATAAATTAAGTATCTTTTGTCGTCCCTCAACATTTACATTGAGAATATTTGAACCAGGTACATAGGTATTACAGTCTAGTCTGAATCCAATAAATAACAAAGTGGCGACAAACGTTAACTAATTTCAACCGTGTTTAAAAGAGAATTTTGTGCTCTATTGTTTACTATTTAAAACGGATATTTGACCATTTGTCTCTTAGCCGCGTTTTGCTTGCTGGACGGCAGTATAATCGTGGGCAGACATGGATTACAACTCCATTCAACAATCGATTCAAGTTTTAACGGTTTAACGATTTTTTGTATAGATATATTTCAATACGATTTTATGGAATCGTCGAGTTCAGAAAGCGATAAACTTTTGTAATAATATCAAATTCAAATTGAAGAACAAAACTCTATTTACAACATGTGCTACCGCTAGCAATGTCGTACACGTAGCTAGCGGTAGCAATTTGTTTTTACAATTAATTTTATAAATATCAAAATGTCATTATCTTGATAAGTATATTAATGATAAATTATCACTTGGAACACTGATATTTACTAAATATTTTCTTTAAAAAAAATAAAATATCATGCACGATAAATTGACGATATGTACATAGAGACGATAAACAGTACTGTACCAGAGTCGCGTTTGAGCAGCGGCGGCTTGGTGTTGGGCGAGGTCTTCTCCGAACCTACGCCAGCCCCCATGCCCGGGTACTGGTAGTCGTGTATCTGCAATATAATATTTATTATAAACACATTATACATACAGCTTTCTTCAAGACTAGTAAAATAAACCAAAATATGAGTATATTTGGTGGCACGCTAAAAAAGGATGATTATGATAAAAATTAATTAAATTTTTTTTCTGAGTGTTCGATCTTTGTATTAATAATTATAACAAACTAGTGGAGAAATTTCACAAAAAAAATAATTGAATATTAATTCAATAAAAATGTAATTAATACAGTGAATAGCGACATCTCTCGCCAGGACTGGTAGTGGTAAAGGTACTAACTGGGTGATAAATCTGTCATAGATTTCTCATAGATGGCGCTACGACTAAAAAGTCGTTGAAAGACCAAGTACAAAGACACGACGCAAGCACATAGAAAAATTCGTGAGGTCCGTTGGTTCGTTCCGTGGCTTAGTTGGTATAGCGTCTGGCACGGTATGCAAGAAGACGTCGGTTCGAATCCGACCGGATCGAAGGAATTTTTTCTGAGTGTTTTTTCTGTATGATAACAATGTTCATATGAACCAGTGGCCACTTACAATTGAGCGTCGGAACAAAAACCGATACGGCATAATTTGCCTTGTTCTTCTTTTTTAATGCCAAGCGGTAGTTTTTTGTACGTTGCTAGGAATATTTTTACTCAACCGTAGAACAAAGACTTATGTGCAAGACTGCTTGTTCTCAGGCATCGAGGAATGACCAGAAATAGAGACGAAATAAGGGCCATCCACCCATGGCAACTCATCAGGCAAATGGGCCTTAAATCACTTTTAAATATCAACCCTCGTTTGCACTGAAATCACAAATTAGAAAGCTGAAATAGTACATCGCCAACAACTGACCAGAATGTACGTCTCCGTATATTCTAAAAATATTCTGTGTTTATTTTAATAAAGATAATATCTCTAACTATGGGGGAGCTGTTCCATTCGGTGGTGTGGGAAAAACAGCAAAACATCTAATTACAAAACAAACGGAATCAATTTCATCGGTAATTAAATATTAAATATGTAATTTTCCCATTTTGTCCATTATAACAAAGCTCAAGTAAAACTGGTCGATTTGAAGTGAAACACTTGACGACGCCAGTCAATTATTTCGAATTCGGGCTGGCCAATCGGAGCGCAGTTTGTCATCGTAATGATTTGGCAGAATAATTTTCAAACAAATAAAATTACATTTCGTCTCTATTTCTGGGTACATACTCGATGTTCTCAGGACATTGTGCATTGCCTTCGTTGTTCTTCGCTGTGGATATCAGATCGAATGTAGTTCGATATTATATTTCCGAAACGAAAAAAGATATAAAAATTCTGAAAACACCCATAGATAAACCTTAGTTTGAATAACGAGCTTATGTATGTATCCTGTTATTACTGTATTGTCATATCGGACTCTTTTCTTCGGATAAGTCGAATTTATTCAACTGCATCTGCAGCAACCGCTAAATCCTCATTAAAAATACGTTTCAAATGTACGGATTTGAACACAACACGGAAAATCCATTCAATGAGAGTAGACGAAATTAAAATCGGATTTTTTTTCCGAAGCTCATAATATGACACTGTAAGATTTCTGAATCGTACAACTAGAACCGGTTGTAAGGTCATCCACCGCAGGTCGGTCGTAGACATAGTGAACGACCAAATGTATCCATGTCCTTTATGTGCCGTGGTAACTACTCACCGGGTTGAGCTGTACGTAGGTGGGTCGAGCGAATCGATCGGATGAATCCTCGTCCAATTTTGGCTCCTCATATTGCAGCGACTCTGGAATATACATAAACATATTTTTCATCACACTTGCTCGTAAACAGTATGATTGCATGGTGGCTAACTTGTGTATAATGCCCAAAATAAAACCTTCTGGCCTTTTTTCTTCCCTCTACAACCATGGTCGGTAAGGAGTATTTTTTTAATTTGTAGCACGACATGCTTCCTTACATAGGTCAGGTTCGATTCAGATTTAAGTTCAAAATTAAAACATTCGCTTAAAATGTTGCTGTATGGGTCTTTGCTTTTTTCAAACATTTAGTTCGAGTTGCATTATCTATGGAAGAATAGGTAGCTGGCCATCTGTTAATAAAAAATAAACAAAAAGCCGGCCATTTGCAAAATGCATAACTAATTTTTGTGTTGTGAACCATATTTATTCGTACAAGAAAGAAACATTGTATTTATTTCGTTTGTATTTATTTCCTCGCAAATGTAATGAAAAACATTGCATTAAACAGACGGTAAAAAAACACAAAACTCGAGTTATTGAAGCCCCTCAGCCTTCGGCTTCGGACTACTAATGGACTTTCGTTAGTAATTTCTTATTTGCCGTCCACACAATGTACTAATTATTAATTTAAAAATTTGTAAAATACTACTTTCTGAAGTCTACTGCATCCGATTGGTATTCGTTACCAAATTGTCAAATGAAAAGACGCGTGATGCGAATGAAGCTTCATACTGGAGACTTGTCTTTTAATTTTGTCGAATATTACTTATTTGACAGTAATTGTTTCGGACAGACGTCAGAGGGCGATCGAGAGTAGCCCCCGAATCCGAGACTAAGCAAATCTAGAAAATTCGGACCCACTTCGGATGTCGCTAGTGCACTAAGTCCGACTAGAATCCAAGAAAATACGAATATCGTTAGTACACATAGAGATAAATTGTTCCCTGTGGCATTTCGGATCGTCATTTCTCGGATTCGGAACTGACACCAATCGGACGTAGTACACAAACCCTCGAGCCATTCGGGTTTCACGGAAATTGACGAATGCATTATTAACCAATTTATTAATTGAAATTACAATTTTTGGGGTGTACTATACCGCCTTCTGTTAAACGAAGTACATAGCAGTGGCGATGCGTCCGCATAACACGTTTCCCACCGGCTTGCCTAAAATTTTCCGCGTATTATCATAAGATTACCAAACAACACGCATACCCCACCACTTAAAAAATATAATCAAAATATTCACTATTAACTTGTCGCGATGCATCTCAACCAATCAGCGCGAGGTAAGCCGGTGGATCGGCGAGTTCTATTTCATTCATGAAAATTACGCGCAACATCTAAAGAAATGGCGGCCAAGAAGCCGGAATTATTCGGCTTCTAGTCGAATAGCGTTCACGTAAATTTAAACCTTATTCCAACAAATTACTGTTTAATTTGTTTTAATGTCATTTCTTAAAATAATGTAACAAAATTATTATAATAGGAAATTAATACAAATATGGTTAATTTCTATTTTGTAAATCTTAACAATAAATAGTGTTACATATGTATTTATATCATAAGAATGTATGAGAAGGTCATGGCAATTCGTAGGTAATCAAAATACCAACACATAGCAGTCATGAGTTTGTTTACTAATAAACTTTCGTATCGAAACGGGCTTGAATAGTAGTAAATTACTTTAAAAACTTACGCGATTATTCCGAAATTTTTAAACTGATTTCGATGGTTCTTTTTTTGTTGAAATAGGGGTACCTCTGTAGTGGTCCCATCGAAGAACATATTCCACCTTTAAGGCTGGCAAATTAGGGGATAATACAATTTAGGAAATGAAACTATTTTTCCGGATTTAAATCGCGTATATTTGTTCGGGCCCTTTACAGGTCCCATGGTCACGGTTGACTGTAACATGGGCCCTGTAAAGGGCCCGAAACGTCGGTTTGTTTGAAAAAACAAATATACGCGATTTAAATCCGGAAAAATAGTTTCATTTCCTATGCGTAACAATCGCGAAAACCTAAGAACTCGATAATACAATTTGTTGAATTTAACCCATTTTCCATTAACCGACTTCAATAAAACTAGGCACGTAGATATAATTGCAATAAAAAAAAAAGCGTTATAAGGCCCTAGAGCTGATTATGATGATGATGGAAATGGCAGATAGATGAGAGGAACTCCTAAACAGTGTAAAGTAGCTATCCTGGGTTTATACGAAGTGACGGCACGAACAAGTCGTGGTCCTGGTGGTAAGCGACACGCCTGTCCATAACAGTTGCAGTGCCACTCGGCGCTTTAAATCACAAAGATCTGAGAGGCACTGCCACTGCGCCCGTCACCTTGAGACATAAGTTGACAAGTCTCATGTACCCCTGTAATTTACCTTTACCTTCCCAAACCGGAACGCAGTAATGCTCATATTGCTTGGCGGCAGAAATAGGTAAGGTGGCAGTACTTACCTGGACGAACTCTTTCACAAGGAGCTCTACTGCTGCTAAATAATTTAGGTTCATGTCATTGGATTTGACGAGGACTTCGATATTATGCGTTTCAGTTATCATTGAGGATTTATTATTAATAAAAAAAAGGCTTAAGTTACCTGGCGGTGGGTGTAGAGGCAGCGTGACGGCCGAGAGGATCTGCGGGTCGCGCGCGCGCGGCCGCGACGCTGTCGAGTTTTCTGAGCTCGAACGGGATTCCGTCGGCAGGTTCAGACACTGCAACACGTATACGGGTTACTGGATTATATATCTTTCATTTGCATGGTTATTTTTTTACCGACTTCAAACAAAAGGAGGAGGTTCTCAATTGGACTGTACATTTTTGCATGTTACGAATGTATGTTACGCGATAACCTTTAAAATTTGTGAACCTCGGTAGTGATCACATTTAAATTTGAAGAAAAGATTCCACCTTTAAAGGTGGCATCTTTGTAAAAACTTGTAATAAATAGGAAACAATCATTTGTTGCCAATGTACTCAACTTTCAATAAAACTAGGTACGTAGCGCATACGCATACTCAAATATAATCAGTTCCGAGAAGTCCCGGGACTTGTACAAAGGAATGTCCACATTTTTCTTTGCTTTAGTTCCCTCAATTTCGATTACTGCTTATTATACATTCAATTTACTCCGATTTGACTTTTGACTGCCTCCGTGGTCGAACGGTTACCATGCCGGACTGCCACGCAGAGGTCCCAGGTTCGATTCCCGGGCCGGGAGAAATATTTGTATGACCTACATTTATTTCTCTCGTGAGTTTGGGTTTAATGTGTGGTTGTCTATGTGTGTCCATGGCACCCGCGACACAGGGTTTCCCTAGTGCGGGGCTATGTTGAGTGTGTGCGTTATTATTATTATTAATTTAATTCCACTTTCACAGTTTGCTCTTTCGGTCGACTAGAGCTTGACTCAACGGTTTGCTCTGTGAATACTGTGAGTCCCGGGTTCGATTCCCAAAAGTACCAATTTGGAAACGAACATTTTAAATTAGTTCTGGTTTGGGTGCTCTGGGAACTGCCCCAGAGTGAACTCTAGTTTGAGACCAGGCAGTTGGTATGGTTGTCTGGTATATTATTATTATTATTACTCCGTCCTTATGTCGTTAATAGACCACTCATTTGCACGAAGCTCTTTGCTACCTCGTTCCTAATGTGTACGAGAAAAAAATCGAATATACTGCCGCCATCTATGTTTGGTGTGGAAATTAGTATCAAACTGATAATTACCTCGAATATGTTGTTCTCCTCATCGTCGTCTTTCGGCGCTGGGTTGAGTTGTTTGTACGCGTGTAACGACGGCCACGCCCCACCCAGACCTGCAAAATCAATAAACATCTTTAGAGATAACACGTTTAATAATTCTCGGTGAACCGGCGATTAAAGCGTGAAACACACTGACAGCGGGTGCGGGTCGGACGAGTGTCAGGTCGGGCGACAAACCACGCGCACCGTTGTCATCCATATAAATACACGGAATTACACCCGATGCGCTGCCAACCCGACACTCGCCCGACATACAGAGAACGGGTGTGGCGTTCTCTGTATGTTTCACGCTTAAGGGGAACACAAAAATCTTTATATCCGTGTAGCAGGAGCGAACATGACGTTGTGCGTTTCGCGTCGGAGATCCTATAAAGGCTTTTCTGACCAACTCAAAGCGTTTCCGTGTGAATAGATGTGGTGAGTCCCTAAGACACTGGGCGCTAAAACAAGGAGATTCCGGTTTCGAGACCCGGAAAGACTAATGTGCTAAACGGTCTTTTATAATTTGGGTGTTCTGAGTAGTGTCTCCGGGGTTACTTTGTACTCATAGTACAGTAATTTTCCTACTTTAAGACTAGATAATCTTAAAACTATATCATTTATTGAGAAACTAGTAAACTACGAGGCTAGGTATCTAGATCTGGAGTACTGAATGTCATTGAGTGTCAATTTGTAGGTAAGATGTAAAGAACCTTAGGCGCCGCGCAAACGTGTGTCTTGTGTTGGACCATCAACCGGCAATTAGAAGCAAATATCCTATTTTCGTACAACTGCGGTTGCCGCAACCGGCGATAGTGTCCGACTGTTGCAACCGGCGACAGTTTCGATTCCATATTAATTGTTTGAAAATAGAATATTCTCTTCTAGTTGCTTGTATCCAGCACAAATGGTAACTAACTTAAGTGTAAAGTAGTTTACTTTAAGTTCTTTCGCGACATACACGTTCTTCACTCATCTTGTCGCAGGGCTCATTGAAAACCAGCGCCAAAGTCAATTATGGCTGTGGCTAATGCGAATGAAGTCCTATTGCGTACGTCACAACCGCACAGATGACAGTACAAAATTTGTAGCCGTTATAATTTGTTTTTTGTCAGATTGGACTTATTAAATGCTGATTTTTTATTGTATTTTTTACTTTGTTTATTAATAATTATTTCTTTAATTTTGTTTTCCTTGTTTGTGTTATCATTTTTTTTTGTATCTGTGTTGTGGCGTTGCAATAAATGTCTATTCTAAATAGTAATTTTTACCACAGAGAACAGAGTAAAGAGAATGAGGCTCTTTAATTTTAAATGAATCTAAAAAAAGGAACGGAATGGAAGCGAATTTTTGTAACGATATTGTACATAGCGAAATTAACTTTATGGTCAATTGTGTAGCGTACAAACTAAATACGAGCCAAAAATTACGTCACGGGTCTTCCGCGGAATTCTCGAGCACGCTCGAGAATTGGCGCGAAGGCAGGCGCAGTGTGACGACAAACGTCGATGAAATACTACAGCCTCAAAGCGGGGTTTCTGGAATGTTCGAGCATTCGCGGGAATGTTCGAGCATTCGCGGGAATGCTCGAGCATTTAAGCGACCGAGCGCGCCTTCTCGCGCAACGACGCGAAATTGACGCTTCCATTCCATTTCGTTCCCCCGCAGTGTAAATTGAGCCTTAAGGTCAAATAAATTATGTTAAATAAAAAAACAAACGACGATCGGACTTAACGTCTTTTACCATTGCCTCATTTTTCACATTCTACAGGAATTTGTAAAAACGTTAATGCCAAACTATGGAATAAGGTCCTTTATATATCACCTACAGTATTGAGGAATAAACGAAATACGACCAAACTACGTTTTACTCAATTTAGCAAAATATACTCACCATGTAGGAATCCAGTATACGGCAGAGGGGGAGGCAGAAAGAAAGCACATTAGATAAGTTAGTTTAAAGACAAACTTTTCAGTTTCACTTTAGCTGTAAGAAAAGGACGGAAGATCTTGTTTCTTTTAGACTTTGATACCATGTGACCTGCGCTTCTACCATGAGTTTCCAGTGGAAGTAAAGTTGTCGGTAGAGACTGCATAAAATATTTGACTTCAAAATGTCACTTCTTGTGACCGCTAACGGGCGCTGTAAAATTTGTCACACAAATATTTTACGTATGGTCCCTGTAGAACCCATTCAAGAATAAGATCTTTTCCTAAATTGGTTCTATTCGTTGTTCTGGTACTCATAGTACAGTCAAGACCAGTTTGGACTTTGGATCGTTCTTATCGTAAGGGGCATAGAGGTGGATTTAAATCTTAAGTGTCAAGCTTGACATGCTCTTGACCCTGTACCTAGTTCGAAACCAGTGGTTCTTGGAACTAAAATACAACCTTCTGTCTTTTTCTTATTGATCACGAACTCTTTGGACTTAAAGAATTTCAGTTTTAGCACAAACCTAAAGGAGAATCTATTTCGATACTTCCCAAGTAAGTTGTTGTAAGCCACAAAGTGTTTTTTTAAATTATTATTAAAGGATATATTTATTCCTTTTTTTAATGTTTAAAAGGTATATTTATTATGGTAGCCTATCACAAACTCGAATTTATTTTTACCGAAACAACGTTTGTTCGAATTTCCATTACATCGAAAACCGAATTATAACGAAACCGTTGTTCTTTCAGAATATGTTGGATGTTTATCGTAAAGACACGATAAGGTTCGGTAAGGTTAGGTTTAAAAGAAAAAAACATTTTCCTCTCAAAATTACCTTCGAGGTTATGAAAATTCGAGCAAAGTTATTTCTGGAAAATGTAATTTCGGACTACAGATAGGTAACCATTTATTATAGGTTATATGGTTAAATGGTATATTTATTATACATAAAAAAGAATATATTTAAGTTAGAAGTAAAAAATGCTATTTTTTGGCTTAAAACAATCTGCGCGGGAGCTATCGATTTGAATAGTAACAAATATTGTGCAAACTAATCGTAATATAAAGATTTGAAAAAAATGTTTTCTCCACCATGATATTAAATTATTTTTTGTGAAATTACTCCACTAGTTTGTCATAATTATTAATACAATAATAAAAATACTAAGCTAATAAGTTGACATAGCGTGACACGGTTTGCTAGAAGACGTCGGTTCGAAACCGGCGGGATCGAAGGATTTTTTTCTAAGTGCGAGCACTTAATCTTTGCATTAATAATTATAACAATTTTTTTTTTAATCCGTCCTGGTTATGGATCAGCCCATACGACGACATTGAAAGCTTAATTTTCAAATAACAAAAGAAATCACCTATTTTTAAGGTAGGTAATAAAAGCGATTATGCTTTTTTGTTGTACAATGTCAGCGATACCATAAACGGCATAGACTTAATGTTGTAATACTGCAATGTAATACTGCCAAAATTGATGTTGGCAGTAGTAGGAATTATTACATAATAATAGTTAGCCTACATATAGTCATACTGCTGGACACAGGTAAGAGGATTTGGGCTGTAGTTCCCATCTTTAAATTATTTTGCAAATGTGTGCACCTTCTCTATAATTTATATTTCATTACATTTTTAGCCGTCAGACCCAAGTAGAAAATTAAAGACGATTTAAGGTGACTGTAATATATTGGCAATGGCAATAGGTTACTGGTTAGCAGGAGTAGTGCCATTAATCGCTAAACATTGGTGGTTTCTTATAGAAGTACAATTCAGAAGTGAACGTCCTTCTTGACCTTTATTAGTACGTACAAAAGTTCGTTAAATTGTGGTAGATATGAAACAACACGTATGTGGTGTTAGTTGATTGGTTCAAAATAGAACCCCCGGCCTACGTAATACGACCTTGACGAGCGTTTAGTTACTGCTTCGAAAGTTGTATTAAATTTTATTACAAAAATTCTGTTGCGTTCGCAACAATATCAATGTCACTTGACAGAAATGGCATCAGTATGCTAGACTAGAGCCTTAACAGGGCACTGTGCCTTGAACAATCACATGTCAAATATAAGGCGGAGAGAAAACAGAGAATGTAAATTCTGCCATGAGGCGGATGAAACTCCTGAGCATCTCCTCACCCAGTGCTGCCCTCTAATACGTACGAAGTTCCATACTGGGTAGGCATAGGCCACAGTGCCTTGAGAAATAAGGTGGGCCATATAAATATTTCTCCCGGCCCGGGAATCGATCCCCGGAACCTCTGCGTGACCAGAATGGTAACTATTCGGCCACGGAGGCAGTTAATGTATGGAAAAGAAGAAAAAATTAGTGTGATTTCCCAAAGCTAAAATTGACTCCCGTGAAACGTCATGTTCCAGTCATGGGGTCCAGTTATCATGAAATGTAAACAATATCAAGTATCGCCCGACAAGTCGCCGGATGTCGTGAGTGTTGTGTGTCAGTCTAGTGACAACTCTAGTGCACTAATAAATAATAAAGACCAAGCGCGGGTAGTTAGAAAAACTCGCACGGCTAGAAGATGTTGACACCCGCATCTTCAGTCCCATAGATGGACGTGACACAAATCTCGCAATAGGTATCTTTCTAAAGTAAATAAGTTCTATTTTGTTTGTTGTAAATGATGGACACTACATTGCACACGCTTATCACTGTATATATATATCAAATGAATTATTTAAGTATTCTATAAATATAAGCGAACACACCATACTACATTACAGAAATGTATACGTAATTTATTTTAGTTTATACTCGACACACACGTCCGGTACTCACTCGGTTTTAGGGTCCACAGAAAATCAGCGTCACAGCCTTTTCACGGCGGTGATATTAGCTGAGTGGTTCCTTTTACATACGCCACACATGACATCTAGGTACTTAGTACACAATAGTGTTGACTACCTTCATGGTCCTTTTATTACTTTTTTTTTTGCTATTCTATTTTTTTTTGTTTTAATTTAGCTTTATCTTTTTTTAATGTCTTACAGTGTATTATTGTGTTGTGGCGTTATGTAACAAATGGTTTCTATTCTATTCAATAAGTCCGTAACGTCAATGAAAATATGTTTCATACATTATTAATTCCCGAATAAAAAATCAAATACTCCAGTCCAAGTGTCAAGAGGATTTCGAGTTAATTAGAAACATTTCAGATATTGTAAGCATTTGGACTTACCGTCCAATAACTCTTCAATGGCGGTCCTAACGCCCTTGTCAAATGCCCTGGCATCAGCGGCTGTCTGGAAAGTGAGCCCGAAGCGCTTCTCATCAGTCACCCAGTGGTGGAAGGTAGGCATCACCTTGTTGTACTGAAAATCCTTTTTTATCGTGCACTCAAGAACCACCTGAAAACATAATTAAATTTGTTCAAATTCAAATAATCTTCATTTGTGTACTGTTTAGGTTCTCGGGTTTCTCTCAGAGAAAAGTTTAAGGAGACTGGTATCATGACTGTGGCATCGTAGTACATTTACTCAAATATTTTGTATGCCCGTAAAAATATACATGATTTCGTTAAGAAAGAAGATATCCATAATATTAACCTTAGAATTAAGTCCAAACTCATGGTACATGGTAAACAATTCTTTTATGGGGAACTGTATACGTTTTTACAATAAGATTCCGGAGAATATATTAAGATTATCATTCCTAAGTTTAAAACTTACATTAAAAGTATTTTTGATTGAAAAGTCATATTACAAAATTGAAGATTATGTATTAGATATAGAAGTATGGAAAGACAAAAAGAGTCTAGATCCCACAAAATTATAATTCAAAATGTATTCCATAGCATTTAAGTTTATTTAAAAACAGCAATCCCTACAGTTTCTTGCGCGTTCTTCTTAGGAAAGTGATGAAAAAGACTCAGTCTTTTAAGGCGTTTTATAACGACTCGACTCCATTTTCCTGTAAAACTCGACTCTAAAATTAAGACTGGGGGTTCGACTCTTTATTAATAACACTCAGTCGTTATACTAAAAGATTCAAAAGACTTAAACGACATGAAAGACTTAAACGACTCGAGTTGTTTGCAAAGTACTTATACGTATTTTATATTTTACTAAACCCGAAGTTTATAAATAAAAATGACGTAAGTGACGGAAGTAAAAATGACGTAAATAATCACGTTTATTGACTTACAATAAAAATCGTAAAAAATACCTTGTGGGTAGAAATAAAATCACGCCGTACGGCTCATGACTCGCGACTCCCGAGGCTATGAGGCGCCAGTCGTTTTAGTCGTTTTAGTCTTTTTAGTCGTTTTAGTCCTATAAGTCTTTGAAGCTTCCTAGGGTTAAAAGACTTCGACTCGAATTAGTCTTCAGTTTTAGTCTTATGACTCAAGACTTGAGGGTTAAAAGACTAGACTAGTCGTGGGGCGTTGAAAATTAATCGAGGTTTTTTAAAAGGCCTTAAAAACTGAGTCTATGGGTCGTATTCTAGAACTCTACTCAATTCTCAAGTCAGGACTTGAGTATGATTCAAAGCATTAGAAATCATACTCAAGACCTTGCCATTAGGGTCGTATTTCCAGTTCTTGAAATCATACTCAAGTCTGCTCAAATCCTGACTTGAGCATTGAGTAGAGTTCTGGAATACGACCCTAAGAGTTTAAGTTTATTTGAAAAGAGCAATCCCTACAGTTTCTTGCTCGTTCTTCTCAGGGATGTCAGCGTAGTGAACGAGCAGTAGTTTAAAATGTAGCTTAAAAATGTCGTTTTTTTTATGACTTTACAGGTAAGCAAACAATAATTCAAATCATCATATTGATTAAACTCTACTTCTGATTCGTAAGGCAGATTCCCCTGAGATATGAGATAATATGAGAGATATGAGATAATGAGCAAGAAACTATTTGTAAATAAAATTTTAAATTACACATAATATAATATTTATTTATTTCAAACATCATCTACCAGATTAGTACTGCCACCTTTACCTATTTCTGCCGCCAAGCAGTAATGTCAGCATTATTGTGTTCTGGTTTAAAGGGTAAGTTGCTGGTGAGATTACAGGCACATGGGACTTGGCAACTGATGCGTCAGGGTGACGGGTTTGCGATTTAAAGCTCTGAAGTGCATTGCAATTACTTTGCACTAGTAAATGTGTACTAATTGTATATGGAAATGTGCATTTTAGAGAAGATCCTATCATAATGGATGTTGGTGTGCAATTGTGTGTGGTATCCATGTGGTATCAATACTGACCATGTTATCGCTGATTCGACGGCCGTGAATGAAGTACTCATGCACTGGCGCCGTTGAAGACGACGTCGTCTCCGTACTGTCGCCGCCTGGACATACAACACATCTTTTAAATACGAGTAACTATGCAATAAGAGCGAAAATGACGTGCGTTTTGCTTCCACTCGGACAGCAATCACATATTACTTTAACGGATACATCACTCTCATACAATCGACAATACCTACGCTATAATAGCCTACTAAATCTGACCAATGATACCAGGCACAGCGTCTGCAGTCGTGCGGAGCCAAATGCTCATAAATGAAAGATTTGTATGAGAGCTTGCGCCGACGTCGGCGTACTCAGCGGTAGGCACTTATCGCATAACCTTGAGCAAGTGACGGAGCCCTGCCGCTGTCGCATATATTATTATTATAAGGTTACTTTTTTAAGGATATTGAGCAGTTGGGTTGCTGAAATTTGGGAGTGCGTCTCTTAGAGTTCCAAATACTAATTTATTCGGCCAGGAGCGTGGACGAATAGTCGAATATTCGGCCTGATTAACGCACGTAAGAAAATGGACAAGAAAAATACTACTAAACTATTAAATTTAGATAAGATAAAAAGTTTCGTACAATTAAAAAATAAAGGTAATTTAATTTTCAATTTTATTTTGTTTTGGTTTAATTTTATTTTGGTTTGCAAATAATTATGTACTTCGGTTGATTTTGTTTTTTGTTGATTTGATTTTGTATGTAAGTAGGTAGTTTTATTACCTTTCTTGATCTCTAAGGATTCCGCTAAAAATTCCGCTTTCTCAAGCTTACAATGTATGTTCAGCATGAATATAAGTTACATAATAATTTACTGTTTTCTTCTTTCTTTGTCCTGTTATATGTATTATTTTATCATTCGGTATTCGTCCAAATAGTTGTTCAATATAAGGTATACGGCCAATAGCAAAAAATAAGCCGAATAGGCCGATTACCGAATAATAGCCGAATATTCGATTTAGCTCTACTCTTAACTGGTATAATAAATTAAGTAGAGAGCCTGGGTGCGCCCAGGTGGACTCGCGTCTCGGCTCTGGCCGCTACTAACCAGAAGGGCGAGCTATTTGAGAGAATCGGCGCGAGTACACGCTGACTTTAGGGCTTAATCGGTTGGCTAATTATCGGTAACTACCGGCTTAAACACCATTAAAAAAACTAGTTTATTATTACACGAGCGCAATAAATTGATGGTGGAAATTTTAAATGTTGTAAGAGAGACATTTTGTCGTAAGGTAAAATGACCTTACGACAAAATGTCTCTTAGGACATTTTAAATTTCCACCGTCGATATAAGGGTAATAATTTAGCAACATTTTCTGGTTAGGAACATTTTCCATTACGACAAAATATTTTTACGACATTTCAAATTTCTACCTTGCGAATGAGGAAAACTTGATCAAAGCGACTCTGGAAGGGTAAAACGTCTAACGTGCGTTCGGGGAATACATATTACACGAGCGCGATTTAAAACATTTTTAAAAGAGAAAAAAATATCATAACTCTATTTTATTTGTTATAAATGGCAAAGCTGAAACTTTTACTTCAAATTAAGTTCGAGATATGAATTTTTCTTAAAAGAATTACTGTATATCGCTCTTCTGTAATATTTTCCAAGTGCACGTTAGACGTTTTACCTTTCCAGCGTCGAATTGATAACTGACTATAAGAAAACAATTGATCACCATGACACTTACCATTGCCGTTGAGATGCGAGTGTGCGTGGTGATGCGAATGCGTGGTTGCGCGGCGGCGGCCGACCATCACGTGTGCCAGCCCGCCGCCGCCCAGCGCCAGCCATCCCCCAGTGCCCTCGTCGCGGCACATCACTTGCGCCCGCACCCGCACCAGGTAGGCACTACGACCACAAGGAAGGAAAATTTAATCCGAAACACATCATAGACTTTCGATAAACAATAATATACTTCTATTCATCATCATGTCGCAATAATAGTTCACAAACGTCGATAACTTAAAACACCTGGAGGTCAATTCAGAACTTTACGACAGTTCAGTTGTCGACCGATTATATTTGATATATACACAACGTCCGAATCGAACGTCAAACTGTCGTATTCGAAATCGAACCGAAATGACGTCACCCCCGTACGATTACTCGAACTTCTCGACCGGCAAAGGCTACAAACGTTATTCAGAACACAGTTTATCGAATGAAAATTACCGAACTCCTCCTATTGTTTACAAAACAAGAATTAATATGGAAACCCCTTATTATTTGAAATAAAATCTGGATTTTGTTCCTAGATTTTTAAGCCTTTAAAGTCTTAAAAATGTATAAAGGATTTTTTAATTTTTTGAAGCATTTTTCTTATAATCTATTTCACCGTAAACGCTGTTGTATAACGATATCGTATCCGAATCCGAATCGGACGATTCTTAATTTAGAAATGTATACTCTGATTTTGTGAAGACGACTGTCAGAAACAGACAGATTATTTTTGTATCTCGTATTAATATTATGACATTTTTTTAATCGACTTCAAAAAAAAAAGGAGGAAGTGCACAACCATGCACATAATCAATGTTTCATTTTAATTAGTCAACATAAAATAAGATCACCACTTAGCCTAAGTAATTGCTGTACCGGAATGAAAGAGCGGTGGCTTCTGAGACAAGTATTTTCATACTTAGAAGAAGTTCACCAGAAACTATATGTATATGTAACCCAGATTAAGTCGACATTTTTTTTATTTTTTTTAGGAAGTCCTCAATTCGACTGTATTTTATTGTGTGCGTTACGCGATTAGTCTGACAATTGGTAACCGATTTCGACAATTATTTTTTGTTGGAAAGGGTGTATTTTTTATTTTATTTTAATTTTTTTATATTTATCTTACAAAAATTTAATTAAAATTAAAATAAATTTAAATTTATCAAAAGTTTAAATAATGATTGAGAGCCAACTATAGGTCCTCACCAATAGATACACATTGAGTTATCTCAGGAATGATCCCTTTCAAATTTGAAGAAAATATGTCACCTCTGTAGGTGGTGAATTAGGGGATGAATCTGGTTAATTGGATTTCACCCACTTTCCATTAACCAATTTCTATAAAACTTATGTAAAATGTGCAGTACCTACTTCCCTAGACAAGCTCTTTCACAAGGAGCTCTGCTGCTACTAAAATGATGACTTAATATCGTCTTCCAAACATCAGTTTTCTTCCAATCAAGACATGTGAATACCATGCCATATCTTAATATCTATACTAAGGGTTCTCTATAGGTAAAGAAAACCTGTATGTTGGAAGACAGTTCACAATAGCTGTGATCTTTCTCAATCTGCATTTGAGGCTTGGTGGCAGTATAAGCGAATGTAGAGAATAACCATAATATCCAGTAATGCAGTGGGTTGATGCAGGAACATTTTTTGTTCTTTTCCTATCAACTAGTCAATGTTGGCAGTCGATTCTGCATTCTTTCTTAATTTTTATGCACAAAGGGAGTTTTTTAATGAATATATATATGTAAATTTTTTGAGTGATTTGTTGTGTTTGAGAGCAAGGAAGCCATTGCTTCAGCCTCTCTTAGTCATCGAACACATGCATTCTTTTTAGTCTGTCGATCTTCTGTCTGAGATTCACTTACGAGTTCCAGCTAAGCATTTACGTAACGAGTCACTAATTCATCTACCTGTCGCTTTACAAAATTACAAACGGAATTCGTTTATATGGCGTGCGAGCAATAATTGTAACAAAATTTCTGCTCTTTACGATTTTGAGTGTGTGTGCGTGTGCGTGTGTGCGTGCGTGCGTGCGTGCGTGCGTACGTGCGTGCGTGCGTGCTTGTGTGTGCGCGAGCGTGCGCGTGTGTGTGTGTGTGTGTACAATGTCGTTTAGTTGCTTAGTGTTGTCAATGCTGTATTTTGCTATTGTATTTTTATCAGTAGGGAAGTGTTTTTCTTTACAATTATTTAATAGTTTCTATTTTATATGTCAACTGCCTCCGTGGCCGAACGGTTACCATGCCGGACTGCCACGCAGAGGCCCCAGGTTCGATTCCCGGGCCGGGAGAAATATTTGTATGGCCTACATTTATTTCTCTCGTGAGTTTGGGTGTAATATGTGGTTGTCTACGTGTGTGTCCATGGCACCCGCGACACAGGGTTTCCCTAGTGCGGGGCTATGTTGAGTGTGTGCGTTATTACTATTACATTGTGATATAAGCTGTTTGTACCCTCAAAAATAAAATGAATAAATAAATCTTAAGGTAGATGATGGACAAGTAATTAAGTTGAATTATTTATGTATACAATAAAAATTATTGTGTAGCTAATGAGCTACTTTAAGACAAAGTGAACACTGTGCTGAAAGTGAGTAAGGTTTAAAGTACAGGGGACAATGGCTACCTCTAATTAAACCAAACGACTCTTGGACACCAAATAACACGGAAGGTACTGAGAACTACATTACATAAAAAGTAGATATATTATTTTTTGTCCAACATAATGAGCTTACAAGAACCTATCCTATTTATCCTGCTAACCTCTATTTAGTAGAATGGAATAAATAACTATTATATTGCAAAAACAAATTTGTAAAAATGGAATTTTTACAAAAAATTACTTAACTATAGGCAAATATGATATAACTGCTTTTATGTTAAAAGCAAAACGTAAAAGGTGAAATCATCTGTTTCAAATTAACATGGATGAGGATGGTATTATTGTAAGAAATACTTGTAGCAGAATTTTCAATTGTATTTCCAATTTTTTGGAAATGATTATTTTTCTTAATATAATGGCGAAATGTAGGCTTTATAATTTACTCCATCTTGTGTTTGGGATAGAGCTGAATCAGAGAACAAATAAGTAATGAGAACGGGCACTCTCCGCCCCGACCTTTATATACCGCACCACACTCTGCACATTGACGGTCATATTGACTAAACGAGAATAAGGCTGCCGGCGAGCCGTTTTCGCTCTAAGATGGCTTTGATATTTGAATATAGTTTTCATTTTTTCATTACGAAATTTGTATGTTAATGTATAACAACATTTTACGTTACTATTTATAATGGCCGTGAATCGTGCTATGTATGACTGTTTATAATCATCTAAACGGGATAAAGAGAAGGTGTCTTTCGTTTTTTGAAAAATAAAACAAAGTAAGTAAAAACACTTCTGTCTGAGATTCATTCAGTTATTGCTTTCTTTAGTGCAGAGTAATATATAATACAGATTTATTATATCAATATAAAAAGACTCTTATTAATTTATAACTTCGTGAGCTAGAGAAGGGTTCTCGAATTTTCATTTTGTATTGCGGATAAAATATTATGTAGTGATTAACTAGGTAATGATAAACTTGGACACACAAATTCAAACACTTTGGTTACCTTATTTAAAGGTACCTGTCCAAAATATAACATTTTAAGTGCTTTTAATTTTTAGAATAAATCTTCAACATTATTCCAGTTAGAGAACTAATGAAAAATATAACAATATATCGATATAAATACGTAATGAACATGTGCAATTATTAAGATTCTATAATAGAATTATATATAACACATTGCCGCTCTGACCACATAACGTAATAAATAGTACGAGCAAGTGATGGGTAACCCTGCCACTTCACGCACACATTTGCGCGTGTGCAGATAGCGCCTTGCTGTGTAGTAGTAGTAGGTAAATAATTTTCGATCGTTGTATAGAGCGTCCGGGGTGTGGCTGAATTTAAATCTAAATTTAAAGGGGATGCTAGCCATTACCTGCATCATACAGAACACAAATTAAGGACATCTATCTCTAAAAATTTTACCAATTAGCTTTATTTGAACAAAAAATGTAGAAAATTTGTTTGAGCACATGGTAAATGTTTTTCTGTGAATGTCACAACACTACTAAGGCATTTAAGAAGCATTCTCCCTATTTATTAAAGTAGCGATTAATTAATATGATGCGGTGTGACTATTTCTGTTTTTAACATTCCTATTCATTTTATAATATTTCAAATGTCAATGTTGCCAATTGGCAGAATGGTGTAAATTCATGATAGTCTCTTGTTTCACTTCCTTCTAACAATTGAACGCCGCCACTTAACGCTAATTTAACTAGTTAGAGCAATATAACCATTAAATTGTACGGTTTCTACTTCAGTCTATATACAGGATCGAAGACAAACTCGATTATTATTCCTTTTTTTTTTTATCGGAATCAACCTCGACATTACACCAGGCTGTGTGACATTGAATATTCGGCTGTCAAATTTTATAATTCCGCGAAAATAACGCTTACTATACTAATTTTGCGTCGGCCTATGTAGAGCCGAAATTCATTCAGAGAAAAAGCTCGCACGAAGCCTTGAAGCCAAGCTGCGGGTGACCCCGACTTTACCTACTTTATTGTGAATGAATGAACTAAAACTCATTGATTATAGCTATAGACCATACTGACAGGGTCATATAAGGGCGGCGGTCGTAACATCCATGTAGCCTCTCTACACAATGTACACGTTCTCAAACACCACACTAGCTGTTATTATAAGACAGAAAGCTCCCAAAAACCCTTAGAAAATACCTTAAATCGCGTTACACTTTCAGTGAGCTATGAAAAATGGCCGGGGTAAGGCCCTACCCCAGAGGCAGGGCGAACCACGGTCCACGAAAACTGAGTAACAAGACCACCACTTACTTTTCAGATGCCTCGGTCATGATTTGACACGTCAAATATCCTAATTTGCTGCCTCCACTTCACAGATCTCACCATTTTTATGACATAAATACATCAGATTCACTTGCGAACCGTTCTTATTTCGGCCCTTTGTTGGGCCCTAGTGCGCCTGCGTCAATAAAACAGTCTGGGCCCGGCGGGTTATTCAATGGAACTGGCGTATTCGCGCTACAGGTGGCGCGCTCGTCGCGAAAAATTTCTTCAATACAGCTTTCCTATTGGATGAATCTTGACCTAGTGCAATTTCACCAATAGCAGCGTACAGCACTATATAACCACCAATAACGTCACGTTAGCACATGCGCGGAATATTTGAATTTTTTTTACGCTAGCATACCGGTAGATTTTCCTTTGTATCTTCAGCGCGTACTTTTGGAACTCGAACTTCTAAATACATTTTCTTAGGAATCACGGAAATTAAACACAAAAAAGTTACGTTTTAATCACAATTACGAGGTAAACTTGGAGGTTTTTCACAGCTTCAACACCGGGAGCGTATCTAGGTCACGTCGACCTCGGGGGTTCGTGTGTTACTGAATGGAGCGAGACTCGCAATGGGCCCATCCCCGTTCATGCTGCGACCCATTGAAAAATAAATAGGTTAGATCATTGCAGCGTGCCCTAGTTGCAGGTTGGTGCACCATTCATGTTGGCCTGCAGGGGCCCAGTTGCTATAAATAGAATGCTCTATATTTGGGCAGGTCATTCCTAGTTGGGTGCAAGTTTCCAAAAGTAGGTTACCTGATTTTCTTTGTTAAATCTGTGACGTAGGTTTACGTTATGACGTCACCATTGGATTCATGGAATAACGTAGATGAAATTATTATTTTTTAATTTGAGTAAAAGTAAGAATGAATAAGGATATTTTAATTAAGGTGAATTGAAAACTTTCTTTAGGGAATTTGATACTGGGAAAGTTGTGTAAATTATTGTTTAGAAGACAAAGAATTTCTTATTACAAAGGAATCGAGTTGTCTATAAAATGTAAAATTTGCGGTGAATGACCCGAACATTTGGGTTTATTCTCTAAACACGTAGAATCTAGGTCATTGAAACTATTGACTATCTAGACCTAGATTTATGTTTCTCATTGTAATTCAATAAGTTTGCTAGTGAATGAGTCTTATGAACTATATTTGCTACTGTTTTCTTCTTCACATTTGTCTAGACATAAGACTAGGTATTAGGATACAATGTTGTAATTACTTATTAACCTACTTCAAAAAAGGAGGAGGTTCTCAACTCGACTGTATTTTGTTTTGTATGTATGTTACGCGATAACTCCGGTATTCGTAAACCGATTTTCATGATTCTTTTTTTGTTGGAAAGGGGGTACTTCCATAGTGGTCCCATTTCATTTTGAAGAAAATCATCCACCTCTAAAGGTGGCTGTTCACGCATGAAGATTCATTTTTATTAATAGGAACTAAATTTTAATTAAGGAGCAATTATTTTAATGGTTGAATTTGCTATTTCTCCAATTCAAGGCGTTTTTCGCTCTCAAAATACTTTGAGTAGTGAGAACCGATTTTTATTATCTCCAGTGTCAAGTCCTGTATAGTGGCGAACTAGGGGATATCTCAATAAGACTTAGCAAATAGACGTAATTCCACGTACTTTTGAGGTCTGTTTTTTTAGTACTCTGTACTGAGATTATTTTATTTATTTATTCGACTTTTTGGTATTATACGAAATTAAAAAAAATTGAAAGCTTATGGAAACTTTGTGAAGTTCAAATTTGGCGCGGAGAAAGATAAGTGGTGGTCTAATTATTAAGATTTATGTTTCAGTTTTGAGTTTGGAAACTGGATTTGTTTTTCAATTCGGGGACATTGGGAAGTGACAAGCAGAAGTTTGATGTTGTTTTATTATTTAATAAAATCTGCTATAATAACAACACACAAACAAACTATGAAATGTTCTGGAATATTCTTCATTGTTCGCGCCATCTAGCGGTGCGCAGCGTCATTACACCAACGACTCTGCTCGAATTTGAATTCTTATTCACTCGCTATACAATCGTCCGTTAGACATTTTTTTGTAATAATTTTTTTCAAAGTTCAAAAATAAACCGTTATACGAGTTTCAAATAGACGTCTTCATTGAATAGACCCTGGAAAACCACCAAATCCTGCACATAATTTGGTCTTCGAGCCGAATAAAAGTAATTTCATTAGGAAATCGAATTCCCTAACGAAAGGAGACGCCAGTACCTCAGCAACATCTGTAGCAGTGAACGGTCAGGCTTATCCATCCAGTCTATTCCTCTCCTTGTCGAATAGTCTTAAAATCGTGTCATTTTATGCATTCCAGTGCGCTCGGTACGTGGGCCGCGCGACAGAGATAACCTGGAAGAGATGACCACATCTCAAATCTGCGCAAACAAAGAGGCGACATGAAGGGTAGGGTTACTCAATAAAAAAAATACGTAGATTCCATTGAAACGGTAATTTTTTCTAAATTACTAATAGCGTAGTTAAAATTATGCATGCAAGCAACAATAGAGGTTTTTCAAAAAACCTATGTAATTCAAAACGATTTTGAACTTCACAATTCTGAATCGGAGATGAGTGCTAATTACGATTATGCAGAATCAATTGAATTGCTGTATTTTCGAACTATGGCTAGTGCTAAATGTTTAGTAGAAAATGTGGAGACCAAGAACGGCTCTGGAAGCGGTAATTGTGGTCATACTGTGAATAATTCTAATTTGAAACTACCCCAAATTAAACTGCCTACTTTCGACCGGTGTATGACCGTTGGCTCGAATTTAAAAATTCATACGAAACTATGATTCATAACCATTCTGATTTTAATGAGATTCAGACATTCCATTACTTGCGATCAACACTCTGCGGTAGTGCATTACTACTCACTTTGACCTGACGAGCCATCATATAAAAAATAAATAAAATAAAAAGAAAATATCTTTATTTTCAGACTACTTTCCATAGATTGTTAGTAAACAGAAAAACCTTAACAACTATGTTAGTACTACAATAATAATAATAATAATAAAAACTCCCATTCAAAAATTCAAAATTAGTCTTTTAGGCATTGGGAGAGGCGAGAGTTTAAAATAAACATAATAATAATAAGAATACTTGCTAAAGGGTACACCGCTGTCGGCAGAGTCACCGAGGTGCACGAGTAGCGTGCAGCTCGTTGAACCTGCCGAGCACTGCACCATCCAGCCTTCCTTCAACTACCTGTAAAAGACTGTTGGAGCTTCCCCTCACTCTTTGAATTAGAGAAGTAACTTTTTTACGCATAAGCGCAAAAAGTCGTCTGTGTGCGCATCGGCAAACATGCCCGAAGCACTGCAGTGTCGAGGAAGCCCCACCATCACCCGGAACAGGTTGTTGTACAATATGTGCAGGGCGCTGTATAATTTTTGGGAATAACTAGTCCACAGACTGCTGGTGTAAAAAACTTACGGTACCCCATTTACGGTATAAAACCAATTGTTTCAAACCGTTTTCGTACACGGAATCTATCATCAAAATCCTTGCCGTTGTGTGATGTAATAAATCCTGTAGGGATAACATTATTGCACATGTGTTTGTAATTTCAATAGCTGATGCAGGTGGGTAACAGTTCTGTTTACTTTTTTGTACTTTGTAATAAGGTAGTAAGAGTAGAGTAGGTAATAAGAACCAGTTCCGTTCATCCAAAATATTCTTCAAATATAAATATTGATCCCTGGTCAGATCCAATCAATTCAATAAATAAATACACTTAATGCTTCTTGATTGCTCAGCGTTTGGATAGTATTAGAGTCGTCCATCAATTTTAGCACTGATATTTTTTTCTCTGCATCTGCAGACGTCAATGCCTCCACGATTTTTGCTTCATTACTTTCTCCCTTAGATCGCAGCCCTTGAATATATGCACCATAGACGTGTTCGAATCCATATTCATTAATCACTGTTAACCCTCAAAAAGGCTTCTTTCTTTCGTAAAGCTTGGCTCCATCGACTGTTAAACTGTGTTAGCAATTTTTTTTTAAATCACTAATTATCAAACGTAAATTGTCATCCGAAAGTTCATAATAACCTCGTAAAAATGTTTCTAGAGCCTATTTATTTCTTTCACCTACAATGAAGGAAAGCATTACTTCTCGTCTCAAACATTTTCGAAAGTAGTCATTTTCAAAGGAGTTGGAAAAGTATATTGAGCATCAAACGACTGCTTGTTTTAATAAATTTATGAAATTAATGTGTCAGAGCATTATATGGTAATGGTGTAGTGTGAATAATATTGATAAATATTATAAATGCAACCGCATCTATATTATTTTATCGCGTTACATTGATAAAGGTATTTTTGTGCGGTAGGACATTTGTTACGATTTCTTTCATATCTTTAGAAACCGCAAAAAACTGCAGCTGATTTTTATAAAATTTTGATAATGAATACTTACGCTATGAAATAATACAAAATTCGAAGCTTCGCTAACAGTCAAAACCTTTGATGAATTTGATAAAGATAGGTTAATGTCTCCATTTTTAATTATGATTTATTTTCTGTATATTACACAACAAATTTGAAAAATATCAACTATTTTTGACATTTACGTAAGATGTGCTTTATAGAAATATATAATAACACATAGCTTATCTAACAAAATCAATACGAAATACGACGTCGAAAGTTCCAAAATTATAGGGCACAAGGGCACAACGAGAGGAGTACGGGAAAGGACATTTTGGATGTATTTTTATTAAATCAACGTACCTATCTAAAATAAAAAACCTTCAGTATAATAAAGTATGATATCTAAACTATCAAATAAAATTAAATGTGTATTTCAATTAAGACATTGGTCAAAACCATTTTTGATACGTCGTTGTTCTGCTATTTCCCAAAGTGCGGTGGCTCAGTGCGGTGGCTCAGTGCGGCGACGGCGCAGTGCAAAGAACCGGGTTCATTCCCCATCCAGTTTTTCTTTCTACGGCGTTAATAGAAGTGGCCGATGAGAACAATCGGTGCCATACGGGACGGGCACTTCTCGACAGTGGTAGCGAGCATTGTTTTATAATCCGTTATAAGTTATAGATTTATGTCAACGTTTAAATGCGAGAAAAATACAGTCCACTATTCAAGTCTCGGGTGTAGGACAGTGTCACCCAATCGAAATTTACGTGTGATATAAATATACGTTCTAATTTATTTTTAATTATTTTTATATAATACAAGACAAAACATTTTATCGACGATTTTTGGTCATATTTTTGGTAAAAAATTAAAACTATATATTTTTTTAAATAAATATACCTATAATTACAACTAAATTCTTTGTTACTATTGCGTTATGATGGTTACCTACCCTCTCGGTTTTATACATCAGTAACCTCACCAGACTAGTTCGCTTCAAAGTAATCGTTAAACGCCTGCCCTTTATATTATGGCAATAAAGAACTAAAAACTTTTGCTTTTTTAGTTTAGTTAGGCACTTTTTCGTAAAATTTTCAATCGGTTACATTTTTTTAAGTAATGTAGATATGAAGCGTATACCTTTAATTCGTGAAGGTAGCAATTATTGGTAATACATACTTCTGAAAATCGGTACCCTTCATGCTGAACAAAGAGGCGTCCAGCCATCCTGACGTCAGAATGGCTGGTCAAAATTTTTTTTTAATTTCTCAGAATATATCATAGGTAGCAATTATTTTGAAAAGGGAGCAAATAGGTAGCAATTCTTGAATATACACTCAGTGCCAGACGCCACAGGCGACTAGCCATCCAGACGGTCACGGCCAATCGTGACAAAAAATTCACCGATGATAATAAGAAATAACTCAAAGTACCTAAATATTTTAAAGGCTCACGCACCTTATGGCGGGTCGCACTGCACCGCATCCTGTAACAGTAATCTTCCTAAATCACTTTCGTACATTTTATTTATAAAATATAGATATGTCTACCAGTAAGTATATGAGTGCTAAGAAAGGGGCGGCTGGTACTGACTACATGTCCTGGGGCCTAGGGCGACCAAAACTGCAAATCCGCCATTGAGTGATGGCTATTATTTTAATTTGTTTAGAATTAGCGCCATCTACCCATATTAGAAAGGAAGCGTTATTTGTAAATTAGTTTTTATCACCCAATGCTATTTATTGACACGCATATTTGAATATTACAAGGAAAATTCTATTGTATATTAAAGAGGATTTATATGTTATCCACGGCCATTTAAATAATATAAACTACTTCCAGGCTATATGGTCAGCGTCATCTGGTTATAGGACGGAATTTTGACCTTTTTCCGAGTTACGATCCATGCCGCATGCAGTTATTGGACCACAGTCCAACCAATCATCTAATACGTAGTAATATTAATGATGACCTCGGTGGTCCAACGGTTTGCATTGTGTGCGTTGGTCCCGGGTGCGATTTTCTGTAGTATCTATTTTGGAAATGAACTTCTCTGAATGAGTTCTGGTCTGGATGTTTTGGGTTGTGCCTCAGAGAGTAATTTAGCGTAGCTTTGGTACTGGGAATTTATTTGAAACCGCATAATTGGTGCTTTTTAACAAGAATTTGCATATCAAGAAGTAATACACATTTTATCGTATACTTTTATGTCTATTTTGTTTTATTACAAGAGTGTATGTATAAGAAAAAATATCTTGTTGCAAGTGTGTTTGAACACCCAGTTCTGGGTAGTAGTTGCTCTGGTATTCATAGTACACTAGTTTGAGACCATGTAAATTGGAGTGATTGTCTGGTATTTTAATAAAATGTGTTTTATAATTAAAAAATATTTTATTATAAATAATTTACAGTATTGACTAACATGTCTTAAGGCATGACATTAACATTATTGTCTTAATTTGTTTATTTACAAATTTTTATTCCTTTGTTTGTTGCCGTAATAAGGCATGAATGCTAACAAATGCTCATTATTCTGATAAATATAATAAAAATTAATATACAATATATGAACCATGTGCTATTTTGATTACTAATATGTACATGAAAACGACAGTATCAGTTCACTGTGTTGCTTAACTTCTGTTTGTTTTCTCTGCAGGACAATGTCGGATCATATTGTCTACTAAAACACGATACAAAAGGGTTACAAGAAAAATTATTATTGTCTTTTTTTAAACATATTTACTGTATTTTCTTAAGGTATCAAAGTGATTTGGCGAATAAATTCGTGCGCCTGGTTATAAGAGACACGCCTGTCCATAACAGTTGCAGTGCCATTCAGAGCTTCATTAAAATCACAAAGCTCTGAGGGGCACTGCCACTGCACCCGTCACTAACTAATAATTTGAAAGTTTTTAAACAACTTATGCAAACATCAAAATTTTCCACACTGATGGTGAATGGTATAATGCAAAATATTCGGTTTTGAGAAATTGTTATGAATGCGGTTTTCAGCTACAATAAAAGGGAACCCACATATACTAACTTTCACCTACAACAATAAAATAAAGGTATTCTTGAGAATTACGTTCACTGCTCTTAAATTTTTCAAGTAAATAAACATTACTTATTATGCAATATCGTCATAAAGGATTCATAAAAATAAATTGTGTTATGAAATTCATTTTTAAACTTCGTAAATAACAGGATAACTTTAATGAATGTTTTTCATGTACCCCGCGTATATCAAGCTCAGGAGTCCTGTTTAACCTTAATGCAAAACGACAGAATAGAATAGAATAGAATAGAATAGAATCGTTTATTTCATGTTATCAATGTCACAATATTACAATTGGAAATACAATGTCAAGGGATAACTATGATCGTCAGTAACAAAATAATAATAATAATATTGAATATAAAATAAAGTAGTATAACTACTGCTTGTCGAATAAAATAAAATTAAAATTGTTTCAAAAGAAACTCATCGACACTGTACAATTCAATATCCAATAAAAGGATTTTTAGTCGGGTACAAAACGTTTCATCGTTTCTAACACTTTTCAGGTCTGTGGGTAGATGTTCGTAGAATCGGGGACCTATTACCCGCGGATTTCTAGTTGCCAGTTCGGTACGGTGGGCAACGGATTTTAGTGTTCCTGCGTTTCGTAACGCTCGGCCTCCGCCCGTACGTCGCTCATAAGTAGCCAAGTTTTGACGCGCATAAACTATTATATCATAAATATATTGTGACACTATCCAAAAATGTCGGTATCCTTCACGATTTCTACTAAAAAAAATGTCGGTATAGCGTTGTCTCCAATGCTCCGTTCCCCTTAAACAGTATAACGTCACTACGTCATCCAGCCAGTTCTAGGCAAACAAGGAACAAATAAAAGATGGCGTTACAAATAAAAAAAATGGCGGTGTTTGCATAGTGACGTCATCATACTCTGTGTGCGATTAAGGCTCTACTCGTGCTCTACTCACACTGGCGCAGAGTCGAAGCGTCATGTTTTTCGCCTATAGCATATTCATCTATATTTTCCGATTGTTAAGGTACAAATATTATATATTTTGTACAAATATTATATATTATATATTTATTATATACTTTATAAATTGATTAAAAATATTTCAAAAATGATTTTGTGGTGTAAATATATTATGAAAAACGGTTTAGTAGTTTTCGAATTCAGGTGGTCCACTTTTGGTGGCTTGTGCGACGGCACTGTTTGCCAAGTCCTCGCTCTGCAGCATAGTCTGGTTCAGAAGACGCTGTAAACAAAAGTAAAATATTTTTAATGTTTTTTCTAATTGACTAACTAACCGACCGTCTCCGAACTTCACCGAATTTCACATCCTGGGAGATCGGTGAGCTTAGCAGGTATCATGTAATTCCAATAATTGAATTAATTTTATTTTCTTTATTTTATCCGTAACTTTTGTACTAACAGTAGAATAACGTACACACTTAACATAGCCCCGCACTAGGGAAACCCTGTGTCGCGGGTGCCATGGACACACACATAGACAACCACAAATTACACCCAAACTCACGAGAGAAATAATTGTAGGCCATACTACTATTTCTCCCGGCCCGGGAATCGAACCTGGGACCTCTGCATGGCAGTCCGGCATGGTAACCGTTTGGCCACGGAGGCAGTTTGAATGGGTAACTTTGAATGGGTACGAACAAAATTGACTGCAATTTTTCTGCAATAAATGATTTTTTTTGTACATAATTTTATATCTTTAATTACTACAGAGAACCTACTAAGTTTTGGTATTTCAATTTAAACCCTCTGGTTATTAAATTCAGATTTGTCCTAAAACTTGCAAATTGCCCAGCGGAATAACGACTTGACGCGCCGCCCGCTGCCCCGTCAGTTGCCATCGGGCGTTTGTCGATGTCGAACTTGTGTAAAATTTTCCTCGCCTGTTTTTATTTTATTCATATTAATTTTCAGCGCGCGGATTGAAGGACGCCAAGGGCAACCCTCTCTCACCTCCTGAAAGCTACGCTCGCTTTGAAACACCTCACTTTAAAAGTCAGTGTTCTTTTATCAGATTTTATCATACTATTTCTTGCCAATAATACAGAATAGTAACCTCACCACATGCAAAAGGCCGTCCTCGTTCGGTCGGCTCTGCGAGTACACTAAGTTGATCTTCGAGGTTTGCACCGCAACTGGACTCTTTGATGCTATAGTTTCAGCTATTTCTAGGACTTTTTGCACAGCGCTGAAATAGAAGATTTACTTTTAAGTATTTTTATGGAGAGAAAACATAGGTATTATTTCAGTAGCAGTCAGTAGAGCTCCTAGTTTAACTAAGGTAAACGATTCTTTTATGGGGAATTGTATACGTTTTTATAATAAGATTCCGGAGCATTATATTAAGTTTGCCATTTCCTAAGTTTAAAATTATATTAAAAGTATTTTAATTGAAAAGTCATATTACAAAATTGAAGAGTATGTTTTAGATAAAGAAATATGGAAAGACAATAAGAGTCTAGATTTCATACAATTATGATAATAATAATAATAATTTATTCCCAAAAAAGATTGTATCACAAAATTGAGATAAATGGTAATTAAATACTAGTTGTACAAACTCTGATCATCCAAACTAGGCACATGCCTGTATCTTGGAAATCAGTGTCCGGCCACATAAATTGAGCTATTGGAGTAAAAATTACATTAACAGACATTTTGGGCATTGGTACTAAAAAGGGGCAAGGTTTGAAATATTACAAACGAGATTAACAGCAAAATACAAAGGAATTAGGTAAGTGTGTTTGTGTGTGTGAGTGTGTATAAGTGTGTGAGTCTATTTGAGTGTGAGTGTCAGTGGGTGTGTATGTAGGAGTGTGTGTGGGTGTACGTGTGGGTGTGTGTGTGGGAGTGAGTGTGGATGAGTGAGTGTGAGAATTTGTGTGGGTGTAAGTGAGTGATTAAGTGCTGTTTGGTAGTAGAATTTCTGTATCATCGTAGTTCAGATTTAAAAGCCAATTTGATAAAGTATGTTTAACCTCAAATTTATTTAAATTGTTAATGTTCAAAATGTTGTTAACACGGTTGTAGATTATGGAGCTGGATATATGATACTGTCGAGATGAAAACGTTGTTTTGTGTGGGGGGACGGGACAGACTGTGCGTTTATTCCTTTTGGAAGGGTCCGCCAGTGGTACCAAAGGGTGTTGATTCAAAGTGTATTCCATAAAGTTTATTTGAAAAGAGCAATCCTTAGAGTTTCTTGCTCGTTCTTCTCAGGGTCAGCGCATTGAAGAGCAGCAGCTTAAAAAATGATGTTTTCAAGTTTGAAAATTTTACCTATGGAATAAATGATTTTCTGATTTTGACTGTGAAGGAGTTGGTCCAAGGAGGTACTGCCACCTTACCTATTTCTACCGCCAATTAGTAATGTGAATATTACTGCATTTCGGTTTTGAAAGGTAAGGATGCTGGCAAAATTAAAGGCACGTGGGACTTGTCAACTTGGGTCTGAAATTTTTATATTATTTTCTAAAATAAGTCTGGATAGATAAGTGTATATAAATACACACATTATACTACTTTCAATGTACTGTTTGCCCATATATTTCGAGTCGCCATCTATTGGTATAAAATTGAACTGCACAGAAAACTTCATTGTTTAGATATACCAACTATATTTGTATCCTGCACTCCCCAGTTAGCTGGATATGACGCATATTGTACTAAAAAAACTAATATTTTACAAAATGATGGTGTTACCTTATGTATAAAAAAAATATTACTAATATTATAACAGTGAAACCCGCCATTGTAAACGGTATTTGTCTCATTGCGAAGATCGGAAACGATACCGCGATAGTGGCCATTTACCGTTCTCCTTCTTATCACAATATTACTAACTTTTTAGAGTCACTTGCTAATATTTTACGAAATTGAACCCCTTTTAAAAATGTATATCGGATTGGTGATTTAAACATAGACATTAAGTCGGGAAATACTGACCATAACTCACAAGAATATTTAACATTTGCAGCCTGTTTCGGCTATTTACCGACTCATTTTCTTCCAACCAGAAAGGAAAATTGTTTGGATCATGTACTCGCCAAAACTAATATACCCATGAAAACTTTAGTATTAAACTCTTCCGTGACTGACCATAATTCTGTATTATTGTGTCTGCAAAAATGTTATAATAAGTCTTACGTTATCACAAAACAGACCACGCAAATGCCGGAGTGATACATGACCTAGACAACTTAGGCTTAACGCCTATTTACGATACAAATGACGTAAATATATCAACAGAATATTTTATTTCTTCCTTAAAAATTATTGACAGATATTATACACGTACCACTTTGTTATTACGACGAAATAAAATTATTAAACCGTGGATTACACACACACACATAAAGTTAACGAAAAATCCTGAAAATGAAGTTCTTAAAATAACTTATTTCAGACATCGTAATTATTGTAATAATCTACTTAAGAAATTAAAACGAAAATATGAACAGACAAAAATACAAAATGCAGGTCAAAACAAGAAAAAATTATGGAAAGTCATCAAAAACATTACTAACACCTATAACACTAATTTGTCTGCACATCAGCTGATTACAAATACAGCTGCCGCAGTGATTACAGTTAATTCCGCAAATAAATTCTTTGATAATATAGGTAGAAACTTAGCTGAAAAGGCGAAACTGTACAACAATAACTATCTCTGTCACACCCAGCACCCTTCAAGCATGACTAATTCGCACTCTTTTGCCTGATTTGATACTGACGAATCTAAAGTAGAAAAAAGCATCATGACTCTGAGAAATGACTGTGCTACTGGAATTGATAAAATACCCTGTACATTCTTCAAGAATAATTGTAACAGGAAGTGCTTTGTAACAGGAATATTTCCCCATATATTAAAAAAGGTCCTTATCACTCCGGTTCATAAAAATGGGGATAAGAATTGCTTTGATAACTATCGCCCCATAGCCATACTGCCGTCTATTTCTAAAATCCTAGAAAGACTCGTCTATAACAGGCTAATAAAATACTTAGAGAAGAACGAACTCCTGGCAACTACACAATACGGTTTCAGAACTAACAAATCGACTGACGACGCAGTGCATGAACTAACTGACTACATTGTAAGACATAAAGACTCAAAAAAAAAAAGGGCTTAGCCATATTCCTAGACCTCGCAAAGGCTTTTGATACAGTCTCAATTTCAATCCTCCTCGAAAAATTATACTACTTAGGAATAAGAGGTCGTGCACATAATCTTCTGAAAAGTTATTTAACTGACAGGACTCAGCGCGTTAAGATACATGATACAGTAAGTGAGGAACTGACCGTCGAATATGGTGTCCCGCAAGGAAGTATACTAGGATCTTTGCTTTTTCTCGTTTTCATTAATGATTTATGCCTCCTCCCCCTGTCAAACTTCTAGGCCCATATTGAAACTCTTACGGCTAGAGTACGAAAATTAATTTATATTTTCAAAAATTTAAGACATGTCGCCAGTGGAAAACTGCTGAATACTGTGTATTTGTCTCTTTGTCAGTCGGTGTTGTACTGCTTAAAGACTTGAGGAGGCACCCATAAAAACACCTTGCTAAATCTAGAAATAGCACAAAGAGCCGTAAGTCTGGAAATCAGCACATTCCGACCTTTTCGTTTTGCAGAACTCCTTGCTAGATGTGATGTACTTCCAATACGCCAGTTATTCATACTACTAACCGTAACAAAAAAGCATGCACTAACGCCCAATATCCCCTCACTCCAAACCAGCAAAAGACGAGCAGACATTGTTTGTGCCACTGAACGGTTTCGAACAGCACACTCCCATAGATTCTATTGCTTTCTTGGTAGCTTTTTGTATAATAAAATAAATCGTTCACTATGTATATATAATATGAATAAGATTCAATGTAAGAAAACCATACAAGACTGGTTAAAAGGATTAAACTACAATAATAGCGAAAATTTAGTATCTGTTCTTACGTAATATTAATAATAGTTAAGATGCTAACTAATATAATTAAGTATTCATGTTTTATTATAATGTATTGTTATTGAACAAAATATGTATAACTATGTAATAACTGCCTCCGTGGCCGAACGGTTACCATACCGGACTGCCACGCAGAGGTCCCCGGGGTTGATTTCCGGGCCGGGAGAAATATTTGTATGGCCTACATTTATTTCTCTCGTGAGTTTGGGTGTAATTTGTGGTTGTCTATCTGTGTGTCCATGGCACCCGCGACACAGGGTTTCCCTAGTGCGGGACTATGTTGAGTGTGTGCGTTATTATTAAAAAAAAATATGTTGACTAACCTATAATTATGCTATAAGCACTGATTTGGATAACTAAGTGTCGTATTCCAGAACTGTACTCAACGCTCAAGTCAGGATTTGAGCAGACTTGAGTATGAGTTCAAGGACTGGAAATAAGACCCTAATGGGACTTGCGTATGATTTCGAGGGCTTTAAACCACTCTCATATCCTGACTTCAGCATTGAGTAGTTCCAGAATGCGACTCTAAGATACAAGGAAGCAATTTTACTTAGTTTAGGTATCACCTAGATTAAGTTGCTCTACTAACCTAAAATATCACTATTTGCAATAGTCTGGCGCATATATGTAAATAAAAGGTTATTTAATAAGATTCATGTATTTAGGTTAAACTTTTACATAGAATAAAGTTATCTTTATCTTTGTCTTAAATATACTACCTACCCCACACTGTTGAACACCTTTCAAATTTTTTTTTAGTTATTATTTATTAATTTGCTTTTTATTTTTATTCCGTCATTTCTTATTAATATACAAAAACCCATATCAAAGTTCCACAATAACAAAAAAAATCTCAAATAAGTCTCAAGAAGATTTATTTGACAGAACTACCAAAAATTGGCAACCCAATTGAAATTGCATATGGCCAAAGACTGGACGCCATAGAAGGAATAAGAAAAAAAGAGTACTTTGGAAATTTCTTACGTGTCTTTATCAGGGTACACTCTAGTGACGAGGCCAAGCTCCAGTGCCTCCTTGGCGTCGAATTTGCGTCCCGTGTACGCGAGCTCTCTTGCCGTTGAACTGTTGCCGATTATCTGAAATTAGGAGGTGAAAGAAATGCTATAACTTACCTTTTTAGAATTCCTGTCATCTCTCTAATGCTTATTTTGTTATCTAAGCAATAGCAAAGGTTTGAAACAGCGAAATACAGGTTTTGAAGGGTGCTTGTAAAATTACAGGCACATGGAGCTTGACAACTTTCTGTTTCCGGTGACATGCGCAGTAGCAGTATGCCTCAGATCTTTTTGATTTAAAACTCTGAGTGACACTGCAACTGTTACGGACAGGCGTGTCGCTTACCACCAGGACCACGACTTGTTCGTGCCGTCATTTGGCATCATAAAAAAGTACAACAATAACATTATAATGATGCTTCCTTTACTCACTTTGGGTAACGTTTGTAGAGCTCCGATATCCGCAGCTAGACCCACATCTATTTCTTTCACTGAAAACCAAGCGTCTTCAGTGCAATACCTGCAAATTAGTACAATAATTGTATTGAGTAAGGCCAGCTTCTGACCGCGACTTCATCCGCATCCAGGATTAAATAGTCTTATTGTTGTCAAGGTTGAACGGTTTTAAAAGTTGGTTTTCTACTGTGACAGAGTGTGGAACTGAGATGTGAAAGATGTTATTAATATATTTATGATATAATTTTGATACCAAGTGAGGGGACGAACGAGTCGCGCGTCTGCTGGTAAGCGGCACGTCTGCCATAACAGTTACAGTGTCACTCAAAGCTTTAAATGGCAAATATTTGAGGGGCACTGCCACTGTGCCCGTCACCCTGATACATAAGTTGATATGTCACATGTACCTGTAATTTTACTAGCACCTTTACCCTTGATAGCCGAAAGGCAGTAATGCTTACATTATTGTATATCAAGTTGGGGGTGCAATTCTTATTTCATTTTTTCTTTTTATTTTATTTCAATATATATGTATATTATGTTTATTTTAGTTTACTAAAGTAAACTGCAACTAAACTGCAAAACTTTTATTGCAATTAACAAATTTTAATGTGATTTTATAATAATATTTCAATTTTCAGTTTTGAATGTTATTTTATTTCAATTTTTTTATTTTTATAACATCAAGTGACGGGACGAACAAGTCATGCGCCTGATGGTAAGCTACACGCCTGTCCATAACAGTTACAGTGCCACCTGCACCCGTCAGCCTGAGACATAAATTAACAAGTCACATGGTCATATGTCTGTAATTTCACCAATTTACAATAAAATTTAAATTTAATTTTCTCATTATATTTTATTTTATTACATTTATAAATATTAAACTGTAAACTAACATAGTCGCTAAGGTTTTGTAAAACTAACAAGTGGATCTATGTTCTCTTGAATAAAGAACCATTATTATTGTTATTTATTTTATTTTTCTCAGCCAACCGAAATCAAGTAAATGCAGTATGACGTGTATCTACATAGAGGGTGTATAATAAGCTCCTATTTCCTCCTCTTATTATTATTATTACTGCTTGGCGGCAGAAATAGATAAAGTGGGAGTACTTCCCTGGACGAACTCTTTCAGAAGGGGCTCCATTGCTACTAAATGATGTAATGACCAGGATAGAAAAGGGAATTTCGATGGATTTGGTCACGTATAAATGATGGATGTTAGTAGATTAACGTCACAAAGAATT